CAACTTGGCTACCAAATCAGCCCCATTGTGGCTACAAACAATCACCCCCAAGCCTTCTATACCAACCGAACTTCCAACAATTACCGGGGCAAGCATCGTGGTAACTCCCGTGGCAATTACAACCGAAATAGTGATGATTCACGCGTTTTTGGTTCCGGTGATAACACTCGTCCACCTCAGTTTGCTTGGGCTTCAACTCAGAATATGGTGTATGGCCACTATAACCAGTGTGGCATAGGTCATCTTCCAGCCCAATGCCCAAATCAGCCCTTTTTAACTTTAGCTCGTGATGTGTCACAAGCCAATTATGCAACATTATCAGAAAATGGCTCGGCTGCCAGTTCAACATGGTTTCCCGACACCGGGTCAAACAGTCACGTTACACCCGACTTCACAACTTTAGACAATGATGATGCTTACAATGGCAACAATTCTCTTCATGTTGGTGACGGTAATCCTCTCCCTATTTTTCACATTGGTTCATCTAAACTATACTCTCCCACCAAAACCTTTAATCTATCTAATGTTCTTCATGTCCCTAAAATCAAAATGAACCTTTTATCTGTTCAACAATTCTGCTTAGATAATAACGTGTTTTTTGAATTTCATTCATCCTTTTTTGTTGTGAAGGACGAGTCTACACGTTCCATCCTACTCACGGAACCAAGTAATCAAGGGCTATATTCGTTGTGTCTCCCAAAATTGAAGTCTCTTCCTCATATGTCTTTCACCGCCATCAAAGCATCATCAACCACTTGGCATCATCGTCTTGGGCACCCTCATGCTCGTGTTTTTCAATCAATTATTTCTCGTAGTCATTTACCTATTTCTTCACATGTAATTTCTTCTTTATGTTCTAGTTGTCAAATGGGGAAATTGTCAAAATTATCATTGCCACTTTCAAATTATCGTAGTAATCATGTTTTGGATTTAGTTTATTGTGATGTTTGGGGCCTCGCCCCATCTACTTCTTTTAGTGGTCACTGATATTTTTTATTATGCGTTGATCATCATTCCCGATACATGGGGTTTTACCGATTAGCTCAAAAATTGGATGTTTATATCACTTTTAAAAACTTTGTTCTCATGGTTGAAAGACAATTTACAACAAAACTTAAACAAGTTCAAACCGATTGGGGGGGGGGGGTGAATTTCGCACTCTTGCATTTTTCTTCACCTCTCTTGGTATAATCCATCGCCGCTCCTGCCCTCACACAAGTGCCCAAAATGGCCTTGTTGAGCGGCGTCACCAACATGTGGTGGAAACGGGCCTTTCTCTCCTTGCTCACTCATATGCTCCTCCACGTCTTTGGGACTTTGCCTTCGAGACAACGGTTTACTTAATCAACCGTTTGCCCTCTCGTAATTACTCCAACAAATCTCCTTTTGAGCATCTTTTCAATATAACCCCAGATTATTCTTTCCTTAGAATCTTCGGGTGTCAATGCTTCCCGTATCTTCGCCCATATAACCGACATAAAGTGGATTTTAGATCCACCCCATGTGTTTTTTTGGGATATAGCCCTCTTCATCATGGCTACCGGTGTTTTGATCCAACCACTGATTGCATATACATTGCACGTCATGTTCGTTTCAATGAAGAAAATTTCCCTTTTACCCCTTCTCCTACACCTTTACCTACTGAAAACGAACCTCCTTATTTCTCCTCCTTTCCACAACCTCCACCCATTCCCAACACTCAAAATGCAACCCCGGGTCCACCTACTACTGCAGCTTCTTTTCAGCCCGCTGCAGCCCCGGTTACGCCCACTGCTGCCTCTTTTCAGCCTTCTAACATCCCACAAACTCAGCCTATACCTGCTACCCCTACACCCAATTTTCAGCCCCAACCTTCATCATTACCCACACAGCCCCGTACCCGACCTCCCAACCTTCGCCAAAACCCAAAAACCACCACTAGATATGACCCATCAGCCTACTTCTCTTCCAATTGTCTTGCTGATTCTATTGAACCATCCTCTTTTACCATTGCTAACAAATCACCAATATGGCGTCAAGTCATGACTGAAGAGTTTGATGCACTTGTCAAAAACGGAACTTGGTCTCTAGTTCCATTTGCTAAAAAACACTAATGTCATTGATTCAAAGTGGGTTTACAGGATCAAAAAGGATGCAAATGGGAATGTTACTCGCTACAAAGCCCACCTTGTGGCGAAAGGCTTCAACTAACAATCGGGTGTTAACTACCAAGAGACATCCAGTCCCGTTGTCAAAGCAGCAACAATTCGTGTTATTCTATCTCTTGCTGTGACAAATCAATGGTCTCTCAGACAACTTGATGTTAAAAACGCCTTTCTCCATGGTGATCTCAAGGAAACGGTTTATCTACGTCAACCACCATGCTTTGTTGATAAATCAAGACTTGATCATGTTTGCTTACTCCATAAATCCTTGTATGGATTGAAACAGGCACCGAGAGCATGGTTTGAACGACTCTCTACAACCTTACAGTCTCTCGGTTTTGTTGGTTCTAAAACCGATCCCTCATTGTTCATCCTCAAGAATACGGGTATGTTAGTCTATGTTCTTGTTTACGTAGATGATATTATTGTTACCGGGAATGATCCTCAAGCAATCACAAGTGTTATCTCTAAATTAGGATCAACGTTTGCTGTCCAAGATCTAGGGAACTTACACTATTTCTTGGGCCGTGAGATTGTTTCTCATGGTAAACACATCATTCTATCTCAGCGCAAGTATGTCTCTGACTTGCTAACACGTACTGGTCTAGCAGATTGTAAACCCATGTCATCGCCCATGAGCAGCTCTCAAGTGTTAACCTTGTCCGACAGCCCCTTGCTAACGGATCCAACCAAATACCACCAAACAGTTGGTGCTCTACAATATGTAACTCTCTCGAGACCCGATATTACTTTTGTCGTCAACAAAGTTTGCCAATTCATGCAAACCCCAACAGAAAACCATTGGTTTGTTGTTAAACGAATACTTTGTTATCTTAAGGGAGCATCGCACTTTGGCCTCTTTATCCGTCATGGGTCTGCTTCTACACTTCAAGCTTTCACTGATGTTGATTGGCGCGCCACCTTAAAAGCGTACTCTGATGCTGATTGGGCTGGCTGTCTAGATGACCGTCGGTCCACGGGGGGATTTGCCATCTACTTGGGTTCCAACCTAATTTCGTGGACTGCTCGCAAACAACGTACGGTTTCTAGATCTTCCACCGAATTTGAGTATAAAGCTCTTGCCGACATGGTTGCTGAGATAACATGGCTAGAAGCTCTCCTAAACGAGCTTGGTATTACATCTAAAGTCTCTCCCATGCTTTGGTGTGATAACTTGGGGGCCACATATCTTTCCGCCAATCCTATGTTTCATGCACGAACAAAACATGTAGAAGTGGACTACCATTTTGTACGCGAAAAGGTTGCTCAAGGAAAGTTGAGAGTTCAATTTATTTCCACACATGATCAAATTGCCGATGTGTTTACGAAACCGCTCCCATCTCAAAGATTTCTGATGCTAAGGTCCAAGTTGCAGGTCGTTCCCCGCCCTCAACTTGCGGGGGGATAATAGACAATATATATATTTAAGATATTTAACAGTACTTTATTTATCTTATTATAGATGGTACTAAAGTGTAATATCTAGTCTTATATATAGGACCTTTATTGTAATCTTCAAATCTCAAGAATAATACAAAAATCATTCGGTGGCTTATTAACCACCTACAACACCATGTGACTATCTCCATCAAAATCCCAAAATACCCTCAGAAGTCAGACTTGGTCAACCATGGTATATGTTAAAGTCAATCAGCCAAGGTGAACAGTCCATGTTGAACCAACTCGTCGAGTGCCTTCAATTTTTCAGAAAAACCGAGAAAACCCTAGCCAACTCGCCGAGTCATCTCAACAACTCGCCGAGTTTGCTTAGTATCCAGAAGGTTGACGAAACCCCGATCCAACTCGTCGAGTGTTCCTAGTCTTAGCACATTCAGCCATTTCCCAAATGAATCTGATGCCTCAAACCATAGATCTGGTCCCCTAGAGTTAAGATATCACGTAAAGTTGCTAACTTTATATCCATTCACGGCATTAAGGAGCTAAAATACTCAAGCAATGCTTATTAAGGGACTTAGAGCATGAAGGAGGGCCAAGACTTGATAAAGTTGGCAAGTTTAAGTCATTGGAGGCCATGAGGTGTCTAGATCTGAAGTTATAGCTTCATAACATGCTCAAATCCAAGAATGGTCCTAAATAAGCTAATAATAGCAATAAACTCTCATATGGAGAGATCTAGCAAATGAATGATCAAGGAATCGACTTTATACCTCAATATGGTTGCAACAACAGTGAAAATCCCGGATCTAAAGCCTTCCTCTCAATTAATCCTCTTCAACACTACTAGAAAAACAGCCTTTTACGACGCTCATTGCGCATCGTAAAAGGCTCAGACGACGCGCAAATGCGTGTCAAGGAAGGCCCTATCATAAAGAGAGACGACGCGCATTTACGACGCTCATTTACGATGCGCAATTACGACGCGCGTTTACGACACGCAATGCGTATCAAGGAAGGCCCTGTCATAAAGGAAGACGACTCGCATTCGCGTGTCGTAACCTTACGACGCGCGTGTTAATGACACGCAATGCGTATCAAGAAAGCCCCTGTCAAGAAAGGCCATGTCATAAATGAAGATGACACACATTTTTGTGCATCGTAAATTTAAATGTTTAAAAAAAATTATATATTTATTAATTTTTAAATTAAATTTGCATTTAATTTCTCATAATAGAAATAAATTACTTTTTTTGATAGATTTACTAATTTTCAAATTAAATAACACATTAAAAGTCTCATAATACAAAATAAAATACCATAAACAATAAAGATAATTCATTGCACTAAGGACCATGTTAACAAAAGAATATAACATTATATACCATAAGTACCCTCAAGTAATCAATCTCTTACAATGTTACTAAAAATACCCTCAAGTAATCAATGTCTTACAAAGTTAAGAGACTTAGTTGGTATGTAATATGGCACTAAGAATCCCAAGAATTGTTTGTGTTTTTCCTGTTCCTGGTGGATCCTACATGGACAAAAGGTAAGAATTAACATTTTCAAAGTACAATGCCTCAATAAGGAAATCAATGGTAAAAGGCAAATCTGAATAAGAACAAACTTTATACATATATACATGGAAGTATTGTAATACACAATAACAGCAACAAATACCAAATTACCCTTTGCTTACCTTTTCTTATGGCCACCTCCAAAAGTGAGAATTTGATAAAAGATTTAGGTCACACATTCTCTCATCAAGCTCTGTATCCAAAAGTGAGAATTTGATAAAAGATTTAAAAAGTGGGAAAATCTCAAGAATATAGAGGATAATACATTAAGAAAAAAAATTACTCACAAAGAGCAAGTTTCAACCTTCTTCCCCAATAATGTTTCAAAGCAAAAAGCTCATATATATTGATCTCTGCTAAAAGGATATCTATTGCTTGATGATCTTTCTGCAAATTGAAGTACAAAATATATTAGGCATATGATAATTAGGAGAGAATTATATTTTTGTTTTCGTTTTTTATTTTTAATGCTCCTTTCACTGCAGTAATCCAACACATAACAGGATAAGTAAATAAATAAAAACTAACAGAGATTAATGTTCTCTAAAATGAAGAACATGATATTTGATAAAAGAGAGTTAATTCAAAATTGATGGATGTTTACCATTAAAAAAGGAAAAAAGACCATGAAATATGTATATTCCTGATAGCAGAGAAGGCAGTGACAGTGAAAATCTTCATTTATCATGACAGATAACCATCCCCCAATCCTTCTACCCACTTATATACTCTATTGCAACAAACAAAATATATAAAGAATTACCCAAAATGCCCCTCCCATTAATAAGCCCTTTATTCGTAGGATTTTCCCATAATACCCTTATCTAAAATATGTGGCAAGCTTTTTTGGTTAACTCATCAAGTAATTATGTCCAAATTAAGTCAAAAGGAAACAACTATATGTAGCTTTCTGGATTAAGTACTTAACCCATTAAGCCTATTAAGATAAAAAAAGAAACAAAGTAAAACTAATAAAATATCATATTATTTTCCATTCAGATTCTATATATATATATATATATATATATATATATATATATATATATATATATATATATATATATATATATATATATCATTTCACTTTCAAGACTTCAAGTTTTTAAAAAAATAAAAAATGCCAGTTTACAAAACTAAGCAATTTTAAGTTTAATAAAATATGGGAATACAAATCATCAAACTCACATCTGGACTTGTATGGCAATGATTCTTCTCCATTATGTATTCCATGTATCCCATCAAAAACCACACTAGGAGAACTTGTATAGATAAGCCTCTTCACATTAAGTTTAGTACAAGCATCAATTATGTTCTTAGTACTTGTAAATCCAAAAACAAAAGTTAATACTGTCTTAGAAATTAACTAACTATGTTTATTATCTTTCTTTTTACCTGTAATTATTATTATTAAATAATAATTAAAACTTAGGATGTGAACAATAATATATATATCCACGGGACTTCTGTTAGCTAATATTAGTTCATTCACTTAAGCCCTGTTTTTTTTTTTTTTTTTTCGCATCAAGTGCTATCTGGATAAAGATGTTCAAAAATATTTGAAAAAAATGACAGCACACTTACGGAAGAAGAAGGAAAAAATAAAAATGACAGCACACATGGGAACAAGTTTGACTTCAACAGGATGTAAGAAAGCCATTTTTTCAGCCACCTGAACACAAAAGGTAGTGTGGTATTAGAAGAAAAAAGAATGATGTCATTGAACGTGAGTTTCTTATACCTTCTGCCAGTCAACAAAGTCAATGAGTTCAGGGTCCATGGTTTCTTTTGCAGCTATTTGAAGTATTTTTCCCCATCTTGTTTCTCAAACCTGCATGATAAGAAGGGGAATTCTTGAATGGAATCAAAAATTAATTAACTATAACAATTATTTAACTTTAACTTAAACTTTTATTATACTTCAAATGATTACAAAACAAGTAAGCAACAAGACCGAGAAAAATGTTTCAAAAAAAAAGTTGAAAATTATATGGCATGGGACAGGGGCATTTTAGGCATGAGAGAGAGTTTGATGATTTCCCAAATGCTCTTGATTCTCTTTACTTGATGATTTCCCAAATGCCCCTGATTCTCTTTACTGTGAACATATAATTCGATAAGTTATAATTCAAAACAAACCAATTAGCATAAAGAGAGAGCTTACCGGTGGAGTACTTACATTTAACATAGAACAAAGATTTCAAGCAAATAGATTTAAAAAAAAAAGATTCAAATCATATCCCAACATCAGATTTCAGCATGAGATTTTAGCAAATATATTTCAGAAAGTATGTTTGTTTCAACAGTTCATTAGTAAACATTTCAACACAAAAAATTAAAGGCAGCAAAATGAATTCAACTAGAATGTTTTATCTCAAGATGAAAATTCCAGCAGAGCAACATAAGATCGACCAGCATAAAAATGATTCAATCAGACAAGTATCTGTTGCATCAAGAAAATATAATTATTCAAAATCAACAACCAATCACTTTCTGTTGAAGCATATATACACACAATTCAGAAACAAATCAGTCAAACCTACATACATTTAGTCCATAGCTCCAAGTCTAGAATCTTTTTATTTGGATTTTTCATGTTGGGGAAAAGGAATACCTGTAAACAACCCATTTCATATCAATACAGATCATTGACCTAGGATTTCATTGTAGATGGTGAGGCTTAAAGGCAAAACAAGTGTTATTAGTGTCCTCAAAGAAATTTTCTTTAACCCTATTAGAGGAATCCAAGAACATCATGGAGCTTCTACCATTACCATTTGGAACAAATTGGAACTTTCCAGTAGTTGGAGATGGTTGAACCTACAACAGAAAGGATCATTTAGTATAGTAAATTACTAATATACCCCTAGTTTATCTAGTGAGCTTACCAATGAGTTGGAAAGGAAAACAGGTGATTCCAGAAAAGAAGTTGGGCTAACACCAGGTGAAAATAAATATGGAGATTGTTGAGTTTGTGAATTATCAGAAGATTTTATAATCTCTGTATTCAACCTAGGAGCATTATGACCAGCTCTAGCTGCCATTCTTTCAACAAGAGGTGCCCTTGAGCTCGTTTTTGATCACCAAACTCACTTGATTTTGTCGCATCGCCATTTTCAGACCCGATTTGGGGATTTGGTCCAGGGAAAGTGAACCCGGTGTCTTTATTGGTATCGTTTTTTGGAGGGTCGGGTACTGATCTTGAACCAGGATCATCCCCCAACACAGCTGCAAAAAAAGACCTAGGGCTAGGGCTCGGAGGCATCCAATCGCCAATTATCCCACCATGATCGTCAAAACCACCCATGAAAATCGAAAGCTTTCTTCCTTGATTATCTGTTCAGTGGTTTGTTAGTTTTTCAGACTTTGAAATTTCACACAAAATCGAAACAGTGATGATGGTGTTTTATGTACGAAATCGTAGTGTTTTGGTCGTGTTTTTTTTTTTGGAATCGTCAAGCTTTAAACAGTAATGATAGTGTTTTTATGTACGAATTAATCGATTACGAAATAAAAACAACAAATAAATGTACAGATTTAATTTCCGCTTTTGGTAAAACGATAAACCAAAAAAACATTTGAATCGTCTACCCGATTGAAGTGGGTAGACCACAATAATAGAAGATAATATAGTTTTTCTAAAATGGGAATCGAAAATCGATGATATTCAAACATTCGCTTTTCACATATTCTTGTGGATTAAGCCCAATTTTGCAATCCCGAACCAATAATCGATATCCGAAAACGATCTAGCTAAAGGGAATTTATTAAAACCAGAGATCTGAATGGGATTGCAAAATCCAACCAACTTCAAATCAAATCTATCATTTCTTTCACACGAACAATTAAGGGTATAAACTACAGAAACTAAAAATGGAAATCCAGTTGAAGAATCGATGGAATGATTGAAAAAACATGATTAAGGGTTGTGATACGAACCTGGAAAACAACACACAGACAGTCAAGGGTAAGCTGATAACAAAGGAGACCCTTTTGTCTCCTCTGATTAGTTGATTCTCTGTGATTAACAGGCCACAACGCAGAGCACACGTCTCTAGGTCCTAAAACATACCTTTGGCAAATTAGATCTAACTGATAGACCATGGGAAGGCAAGAATTTGGAGATGTGGAGGACATCGGTCGGCCGAGCAAGTCGACGACTGTTGTTGAGAAGTGTCGAGATAAAGATAAGGTCGGTCATGTAAACAAAAACATACCTTAATCGTACTTAGGGCTTGCAAATTTGAGCAGTCGTTGTAGTCTCTGGTGACGTGAGGTGAGCCCGAGGTCGCTGGTGGAAAGAGATGAGCCGAGGTCGCCGGTGGAAAGAGATGAGCCGAGGTCGCCGATAGGAGGTGAGGTGAGGGAGCGAACATTACAGAGAGCACTCCTTGAAAAAGCCCTAGATAATGGTCCCTGCAATGGCGGGGTCTTCAACTTTTCTAATTTTTTTGAACACGAGGTTTTAGATTTGGTCGACGCCATTAATGAGGAGACCTCACATATCAATTACGATTCACCTTCGCTTTATCTTCTTGTTCTCCTCTTGATGATTTCAGACTCCGTCTCTACGACTTTACATGATATTTTTTAGAAAGGAGTCTTTGTGGAGCATCAGGGTTTTTCTTTATTTCATAACCCTCGCATGTACTGGGTTGAGAGAAAACGAGAGAAGCGGAAGCTTGGAAGAAAATAAAACCCTAGCACGTGCTAGAGAGAAGGGAGGTGGCGATGGCTTAGGGTTTACAGAGAGACGGGAGGTAGAGAATGAAAGGAGAACTAGAGGAGAGAGTATCAGAGAGGGGAGAGTGGATTGCAAGGATGAAAGATAGATAGAAGAAAGAAAAAACAAGGCGGGTTTTCAAAATTTTGGAGATTCTGTTTCCCCCCTTGTCTACTAAAAGCGCGTTTCATTAAAATTATAAAGCAACAGCTACAGACGACGCGCGTTTAAGATAAAGCGCCCTCCGTGTTTTTAATTTTTTTTTCTTGAGACACTAAATTAAGGGCACTCAATAATGCGTGACGTAAATCCTTAAGTTTTTTTGGAGAGATGACACTATTTTAAGGGCACGTCCTTTTCCGTATCATTAATCAGTGCGTGTCGTAAAAAGCGCGTCATTAAAGGTCATTTTTCTAGTAGTGCAAGCTTCAAGTTCCTTCCAAAAGAGCACCAAAAATACACTCCAAGCTCACACACACTCAAAATGAGAGATGAGGCACGAATTAAGGTTTCACTGGACAGAGGAGGTGATAAGGGAGGCCAACAATGAGACTTAATGTTTTTAAATAGGGTGCAAAACCCTAAAAACTAGAGTTTCATAATCAGCCACCAACTCATCGAGTTGGGGCCTTCCAACTCGTCGAATAGGTCTTATAAAATACACGGCCTTCTTTGTTTCTACACGACGAGCTAAGGCCCTCCAACTCGTCGAGTAGGCTTTATAAAATGCATGAAATCCCTAGAATTTCATACCTAGAAATCAAGATGTTACATATTTGGAACAAATGATCGAAATAATTTGTTTACTTATAAAGTTTATTACTACAAAACTATTGATTTAAATAATTATATATATTTTTTTGAACAAACCTATATATAAGATTATAAGTTTGTCAAGCATATTTTTTTTAATTTAAATGATATTAGATTTGTTCACCGTATCAGCGTATCTAACCCATTTAATCTTTTTATTTCCTCAAATGTTTCGTCTATATAATAAAAAAAAATCGAGATATAAATTGATCAAAATTACTTACACCTTAAAACAAATGCTTACTTGTCTTGAATTATTGTACTTAGGACACACGAACAACAATATGCACAATAACGTATACTCAATAGTTTAATGAATAAAAGAAAGCACAATTTATAAATATGTATTGAATTTCTAATATGCATTAATAGTTTAATTGGTTTAAACATAGGTTGAACTTTTCTCTTTTTATTCAAAATCAAAATACCTTAAACAGGTTTCAAAACCCAAATACACCAACCAAACCAAAACTTTGTTACAACAAAATATCTTGTAAAATTACAAATACATAAATACTAGAATGCAAGAATTGAAAAGTTTAGGGTTGTTGAATGTAAGAAGTACCTACTTACATTATTTTATTTGTTTATCATCATAACATCATATTTCTATTTCCTCATATCACGCATTGTAGTTTGAAAAATTTACCCAATCTTAAAGTAGAAAGCAATAAGATTGGGAAAGCTAAATAAACAAATTGATGAAAGTACGTTGCTAGTTTTGTATTTAGCCTGAAAGGTAATCTCGCATCTTAATGATCACATGACATTGTAGCAAAAAAAAAAAAAATACAGTTTTAACAAGTTCAAAAACAGTAAACTATTATCATATAATAAGTTTTTCCATTTATTTATTTATTACAATATCCTAATTTTGTTTCCTTCATGTCAACATCATACTTTAGCAAACCTATTCAACTTCAGCAATGTTCCCAAATACAAAACAATTTCCATTACTATAAAGTTAGATTTTTCAAAGTCCAACCTCCTAACAAGGAAAAAAAATCTGAAAGTACAATGCCATAACTGGATACATTTTCTATAGTACAATGTCTTAAACTCTTAATAAGAAAGATACTGAAACCACAATGTCATAACAGGAGAGAAATGAAACTATCAAAAATCGTCATTGTCTTCCTCGATTATATGCTTTGTAATGCAAGACAAGAGAGGACAAAACATATTGTACTACATTTGGTGGGTCTAGAACTAGGACTGATGTTAATTGGACAAAAGTTGCATTTTTTGTTCCATTCAAGAAAATGTGTAAAAGACATAAATGCCCTCCTTATCAAACACATCCAATCCATGGAAAGCTTGTCCAGCAAATGAGACTTAAAATTGCACCACCAATGGGTCAAAATGAAAAACTTGGCTGAAAATGAAATTGGTCAAACAGGTCAAAATATGCCCAAAATACATACACGAACTTGTACTTTCACTAATTTATCGATTTATCCATTTACCTATTATGAGTAGTAATTAAAACCACTAACCCTTTAAACAACCATTCTTATTAGTTAACCGCTTTAGAATAAAGAAGAAAGTAATATCACCATTTTACCGATTCAGCCATGAACTAATACTTTTTCATGATTAATATAATAATAGTTTGGTGACTAAACCAACAAGAAATAGTACTTTGGTGGTTAAATGGATAACGAAAATACGTAGTGCTTTCTGTGATATCTCTCTCTTTTTTTTTTTTTTAATTAATAGAGAATGCCAGGGTAGTGAGACTTTTCAAACTAAGTCCTAGTTATTTGCAAAGTTGCCCTCATTTATGGATGTCTGCATTTAGAGCTAGAACAAAAGGGAAGAAGTAGGGGAACTTCAACAGTATATTACAAGTTGAAAGCTAAAAAACCATAAATGAATCAATTACATTTCGCATCTTTTTCATTTAATTCTAATCAAAATTAGCTCATATAAATCATTGGTAACCATTGTGATGTTAATGTTAACTAACTTGACTTAAAATGTAATTTATATGATGTTGATGGTGTAAGCATTTAATTAATAGAAAAATGAGAAATTAGGGTGATAGTATTATCTATCTTGCTTGTATAAGAGATGATAAACTGGAGGGTATAAGTATAACAAAAAAAAGTTACAACTTAAACTTTCTCAATTAAGGCATTCTTTATGCATCAAGTTAAAAAGAAACACCTAGCTTATCAGGTTAAAACTTCTCAAGTTAAAAAAAAAAAAAAAAAAAACGTACCGAATTGCAAAGTGTTAGAACTGAATCATGTATCAAAACTTATAAGATGCATTTTTTCTTTCCCTCTATTTAATATTTTGCAGAAGTATACTTGAAGCTTTAATACAAACTAAACATTATAATTTCTAAACTACAAAGAAGATGAGTAAAGTATGTTAGAGTAAGCAACCTTATATACTGTTTGATTGTTAACTGCTGTTGAAGACATATGATAAATCAAGAAGTTGCACCAATTAGAAGAAAGACAACCAACAGAAATTAACGAATACAATCAGATAAACATGAAAAGTCTGAATCTCAACATGTAAAAACCAAACTTGTATCATAAACTTATGCCTGATTATTAATTGATTCGACCAAACTATTCAAGGATGTTAAGGAGCACATTTCCATCTATATGTGAATCATATACATACGCATCACAGGCTGCATAAAAACTAGAAATAAGTAACAGTTTTTATCAGAAGTCATTAACAGTACCTTGTCGTAGCTTGTGAATCGGAGAAACAATTCCCTAAACAAAAAATTTGGAAGCCGTTTTAGCGAG